CAACATATTTTATCTGTTATAGATTAGAAGAAAGATGAAACCAAACGCAAAATTGCTTCGTTCGCTCATACAAGAAATTCGACAAACGTCATCTGAACAAAAAGCAAAAAATAATATTATGATACAGTATATTTTGGAACAAGCAAAATCTCATCAAGAAACTTCTGAAGTTTTGTGCAAAGCACGAGAAGAATTAAAAAATTTAGCAGAAACATATCTCTGTTACCTAAATTCTCAGCGTATGTGCAAAGAAATTAAAATCCGATATGCTGGTAAAGGTGAACGAAGTATTAAAGAAACTGCAGATCTCGTTGGATTTAAATTACCTCATGATCCAAAATAAATTCGGATTTAAACAATAATTAGTTTAATATAGATTTATTAATAAACAAAATAGTAAAAAATGAAACAATTACAAAAAAAAGTATAAAAAGTACTATTAAAAAGTACTTTTAACTTAAAAACTTATAAAATAAATCTTAATTAATTATAATATTTATGAATATTCTTTACGAATACATTTGGCTATTGTTGATAATTGCATATTACTGGTTCCTTCATAAATCGTACCGATTTTCGAATCTCTGAAATATTTTTCTTGGGGAAAATCAGTTGTAAATCCTACTCCACCCATAAAGTCAATACATTTTGCAGTAACACGCAAAGCCGTTTCTATATAGGAAAAAATACGTAAATCATATATTTGATATTTTATTAATATATGGTTTCGTAAAGAAAGAAAGAAAAGAAAATATTAATTACCCGATGCAACCAATTTCGCCATAGCAGCCTCTTTCATTACATCTTTTTTCATATCAACTAATCTGGCTGCATTGTAAACCAATAATCTAGCAGATTCAAGTTCAGTGACTACTTGAGCGATTTGATGTTGCATAGACTAGAAACAAATAAAATAATAAAAAATATTTGATTTTATTATTTATTATATTAAAAACAATTGAATTTTCTTTTATACTTGAAATGAAAATATATCTTTCCCAAATTGCTTTCTTTCTAATGTATATGGTATTGTAGCATCCAAGCAACCTTGTGCTATACCAATCATTTGAGCTCCAATACCAATTCGTCCTTCATTTAAAAATCCAGCAGCATATTTATATCCATGCCCAAAATGTCCTAAAATATTATCTTCAGGCACCTTTATTCAAAAAAAAATCATATATAACAAGAATTAATAATTATAAGTAATAAATATTCACAATTTTTTTATATATATTCAAAAAATTATTTTATTTACTCTGACGTTGTCGAAGTGTATCATACATGTACCCGATGCTTTAATTCCTAATTTGTCTTCTGGTTTGGCTATTGTCAATCCAGGTGTATCTCGTTCTACAAAAAATGTTGTAATACCACGATATCCCTATGCACAAAAATTTATTATCAATTTCTAAAAGTTTAAATATCATAATCCATAAAGAAATAAAGTGAAATTATGAAATTATGAATTAAAAATTAAATTTATTTGAACAATTAGTTGAACGATTCACTAGAAATCAAATAAAATAACTTGCATTGAATGATTAAATAAAATGAATTGTTTGAATTATATTTTATATTATAAAATCAAACAATTTTAGTCGAGTCAATTATTTTTTATATACTATGATTATTATTTTTTATTATTTATTAAATATATTAGACTTACAGCGGAAGGATTTGCATTTGCGAAAACTAAAAACAATTCTGCAATATCGGAGTTTGAAATCCACATTTTTGTTCCACTTATCACATAATCGGATCCATCTTTTTTTGCTATAGTTTTTAAAGAAAAAGCATCTGATCCTGAACCAGGTTCCGTAAGACAGAAGCTCCCCGCCTCGAAAAATAAAAAATTAATAAAAAAAAGTATGTATATTTTTGCTATAAAACATACAGAGTGTAATATATTATAATTAGAGGAATTATATATATAAATTGTAAAAATTATAAATATAAAGTGCCGTTTTGCACATTTGTTATCTTTCATATGATAAATTTTGTAAATATTTTCAAGTTAAAATGTCTCTAATTTAAAAATTTTTCGACATAAGTTTATATATATTTTTATAAAATATATATATATATA